AGGCCCAGACAGCCCAGTTTTGGGGCACCAGGATCAAAGACATGGGGTGAGGGTAGCACACACAGAGCCCCAAAAGGGATTTCCAGTGGCATCCACTGGACATGGAGGTGGACTCAGGCTGGTCCTCGGCCAGGGTACAGGGAATGTGGGAGATGCCCAAGGCGGTGAATGCCCAGAACTGGCCACACAACCCTGCACCTGGCCCACGCTCCAGTGGGGTATCCTGAGGAGAGCCCCCTTTCCTCCACTGGCTGGACCTGATGGGCCTACAAGCCAAGCGGACTGTTTGCTCCATAGTTCCCTTCCGACTCCAGACCAGCTCTGCAGGGAGGAGTCACACCTGCCCTGGGGCCAGGGCAGGGAGAGGAGATGGGGGGGCGGGGTGTCCAGCGGCTCCCCCAGGCGCTGACCCTGCACAGGCCCAGCATGTTGCTGGGTTCAGGCTACTCCTCCCCCTCCGACGTCCGACAGAAGCCAGCAGTGCGGGGCTGACGACCCAGGACACCTCCCCCAGGGTAGGTTCTCTTTGTGTCGTGCAATGTGCATGTGACCATGAGAGGGTGGTGGTGACAGAACCGTTTTTTGTGTTTTTCCAGCTTGTCCACCTGCATTAATTTTTTTGAGATATAATTCACATACCAAAATATTCACCCTTTTAAAGTGTAGAATTCAGTGGGTGTTAATTGATGCACAGAGTCATGTAGCCATCACTGATGTCTAATTCCAATCCATCACCCCTAAGAAACCCTGCACCGTCAGCAGCCACTCCCCCCCCCCCCCCAAGTCCCTGGTAACCACAAATCTGCTCTCTGTCTCCACGGATTTCTGTCTGGCCGCCTCATGCAATGGACTTGTACACTATGTGGCCTTTGTGTTTGGCTTCTTTGACTTAGCATAACATTTTCAAACCTGTCCATTTCACAGGTGAGGCAACTGAGGCTTGGAAAAGTCAAGGCTGCTTGTCCTGAAGGTACAGAGTTAGAGTGGGGACCAGTTTGGAGTTAAATTCCCTCATCCGTTTCCTTTCCACTTCACACTCCTCCTCGAGGGGCCAAAGGGGTGGGGACTGCTGTGCCTGACCCCATCGGCAGGGGTGGACCCTCTGCCCTCCTCCGCTCTGGCTGCTGGTGGAGACTCTGACGCAGGGAGGGGGACACAGGACCCTGTGCCCATCCCCCCTCGCCCATCCCCCCTCGTCCTGCCACAGCCTGTGTTCATTGGCCACCGTGTCCTCCCGGACAAGGACACGTGTCAGGGCAGAATTGCTTAAAGGAGCATTTCTCCTCCCAGTGCTGGCAATGAGAATAGTCAGTCGCTTACTGGTTGTATCCTGCGTGCTTCCTGAAAGTGCCTCGGTGCTGGCCACACGGTTGGGGCTGTGCTGGGGCCACTCACAGAGTCATAGAGAACAAAGCAGGATGGGGTAAGGGCTGTGCCAGTGTATGAACTGGCTGTGGAGTTAGACTACTAAGTTTTAAACATTTGATATCTCAAGATTTGGGAGTTTACAAACCTAAGAATCAGTTTCTCCACCAGCAAAATGGAACAGGCTTATTGTATATGGTGCACTGTGGGCTTACGGGGAGGATTAAAGGTGATGCCGTATCTACAGCAGCTAGTGGGGAAGCCAAACAATAGTTTTATTTCCAGAAAACCTACGTTAACATTAGCAAGTAAACACTGAGCCTCCTGGCAGCCAAGGGAAAAGGGGAAACGTGAGGACACTAAGTTCACCCAGAAGCAGGAAAGCACATCAGGAAGGAAGTGGCCTGACATTAAATGCTACAAAGAGATGAGGTGATGCTGTTTAAGGGGCGACAAACATCACCACTGGGGACAATCGTTTCTCCTTCTGTGACAGGTGCAGATGTAACCCTCAGAGGATTGAGCCTCAAATCAGCCATCATAATGCAGTCAAACGCATGCTGGGATGTCACCCTCTGATGTCGGACCCAGGAAAGGAAGGTACGCGCTCTCCCGTGGACTGTCCTGCTCCAATACGAAGTGGTGCCCTCAAGTTTCCAACAGCCGCCAGGTGAAGGAAGGGCTGAAGGGGCATCCTTGGGCTTCACGCATGGGCTCCGAGCCTAAGAGCTGAGCTGCCTGCCTGCCCGCCCCTTTCCAGGCCTGTCCCCCTCTTCTTAGCCTGGGCATCCTCCCGCAGTCCCCGGTGAGCAGCCCCCCTTCCCTTCTTCCTTCCGGAACCTCGGTTGAGGTCCTCTTCATTCTCCTCTGACACCTGCCCAGGATGGCCATGAGGGGAGCTGGGATTTGCCTGCAAAGCCCATGGCACAGAGCCTGGCCTGTCACAAGTTCCTGGTCAGTGGTCACAGCTGTGCTTGAGTGGAGAGACCTCCATGTCTCAAAACGAATGTGAATGTGGCCGAGGGGCGTTTTGTAGTCTAGGTGACTAGTTCTCTCGGAACGGCATGGGCTGCAGGGGCTCTGAGGCTCCTGGGAAGCACCCTCCCACTGGCCCAGGCGCCCCAGGTAACTGCACAGGGACGCAGCCCAGGGTGCTGCTGGCCCCGAGCGCCCGGACTGCCCACCTCCCACTCAGGATTGCCTCGTGCCTCCCGAGGAAGGTCAGGGGTTTGACCTGGACGTGGGAGGGGTGCGGAGCGGCCACTGAATGCAGGTGGTAAACTTCTCTGTTTAGGCAGGTGAGTTGATTGGGGTATTTTTGTTGAGATGAGATTCATGTAACAGAATTAACCACTTTAGTGTACCATGCAGTGGCATTTAGTACATTCACAACGTTGCGTAACCACCACCTGTGTCTAGTTCCAAAACAGTTCCACCATCCCAAAGCCACGTGCCCATTAGCAGTCACGCCCTGCTTCCTCTTCCCCCAGCCCCTGCAACCGAGAGTCTGCTTCTATCGGTTTAAGTCTTCTAGACATTTTGTATGAATGGGGTCATACATGTGTGGTCATTGTCTCCGGTTCCTTTCACTTAGAATGTTCCCAAGGCTCATCTGTGTTGCAGTGTGTCAGAGCTTCCTTCCTCTTCGTGGCTGAGTAACATTCCATTGTGTGGATCGAGCACGTTTCGTTTCTCCTCCTGCAGTTGTAGGCATGCGGGTTGCTTCCACCTTTTGGCTGTTGGGAGCAGTGCTGCCAGGAACATTCGTGCACATTTGCTTTAATGCGTCTTTTCAATTCTCTTGGGTACCGTACATACAGACATACCCAGGAGTGGACCTGCTGGGTCATATGGTAATTGTCTTCGTTTGAGGAAGCCGATTGGGATTTTAATGTTCTCATCTGGAGCTGTTTCTCCCCACATATCTATGTTGTGTGGTGCAGGGGTGAGGATATATGGTTGGGGACAGATAGCTCTGGGTTTGGATATAAGTGACCTACCTGCTGTGTGACCTCTGTGAGTGACTTGCCCTCTCTGTCTCCATTTCCTCACCTGCTGATCATAGGATGGCGTAGGCAGCGCTGAGGGAGTCACTGCCTCCCAGGTGCCTCACTCCATAGTGTAAATTAAGTGGGAGCTCTCATACCTTTTAGGGTTGAAATTTGTTCTCTTCAGAGCCCGTTTCCACCCACTCGGAATCGAGGAGGCTCTAAGTTGCTTGTGGGCTGCAATCAACAGAGATGCTACAATGTGGGGAGAGTTTGGGCAGGCGGTGTGATGTGTGGAAGTGGAGCATGCCCAGCTGGCAGTGTTCCTCAGCTGCACCCCGAAGAGCCTCAGCCCCCGCCCCCCGCCCCCCGTGAATAGTACTTTTTAAATAGCTGAGCTGATTGGAACAATCCCAGCTTCTGGGTGAGGTGGGCTGGGGCAGCTCTCATGCCTGCCGATGCCGCCAGCAGGGCCTAGTGCAGTGGCCTTCTCATGAGCCAGGCAGTTCCTTATCGTCATAGGGGTCTTCTCCCCACTTCACAGATGAGGACGAGAGGCTCTGAGGGGCTGGTTGCCAGGAAAGTTGGCTCAGAGATGCACCGCTGGGACCCGAATTTGCATTTCACTCTTCCTACGAGTCCGTGTTGTGCTTTGTGTTACTGCTATTGAGTGAGCCGTCGGCATCAAACCTTATGAGGAGGTGGCAGGGGCGTCAAGGTTCCAGGCAGCCAGAGGAGGCAGCGTGGGCAGGGACCTCGCCCAGTGTGATGGCTTTAATCACAGCACGTTTCACAGGCTGGCTGCTCCAGGCTGGAGCAGGAGGTGGAAAGACGCACATCCGTGGTCCTGCCTCCCCAGGGCTCCCACTGGGCCCAACTCTCCGCTACCAGGTTAAGGCCTGTCTCCTTCCTCCTCCTCCTCCCCAGCCTCTGCTGCTCTTAGTGTCTGTCCCCCACCTGCCCGCTCTCCATTCTGCCTCCTCTGCGCCCTGAGATTGTGTATGACGTCTTTCCTGATACCCAGGACAGGGAAATAGAAGCAGGGATGTCACAAAGGTTCCAGAATAGGACTTAACTGTTATCTCACATCATGTCTTGTTGGAAGAGCTGATGGACAGGTGTGCACGATTAACTGTGCCCTGAAGTCTGGCCTTTGTGCCCAGCTCCTGGGAGGTGACCTCTGGGACCTTGTGCCATCAGTCCGACCTTCAGAGGGGCTGATCCCAATGAACTCCCATCACCGAGGCTCCGTGAGTGTCCCTGGTTGGCAATACTCTGTAAAACTCTGTCGCCTGTTAGTGAGGGAGAAAGTCGCTTTCTATACCTGCCACTGGGAGGACGTAAGTGTGGGCTCTGCACCTGGCGTCTCCCTTTGCTGCCGTCATCTGTGACCGTGGTCTCATGGCTTCGATGAGTTCAGTCCTAACGAACGGCTGACACTGGGGATGGTCTGAGGACCCTGAACTTGGTGCCGGGCACAGACTTATTTGTCAAAATAGGGTTAGTGCCTCTATTTTGCAGATAAGAAAATTGAGTCTCAGGGTGACTTGGTCCAGGTTTCATGGCTAATGAGGGCCCCATGCACCCCAGTGGCTTCACTCCTCCAGCTGTTATCAACTAGGAAACAGGAAGTAGAAACACAGCACATGACGGTTCCCAACGGGAGTTTATTTTGTGCTTATCCCAGCGGCGGCTGTTTGCCTAGTATGGCACTGGCTACGTGGGCTCTACTGCCGTGTGCAGACTTGGCACAGGCCTAGGTTGGGCACTACAGGGTGTTGACTCCTACCAGGTAGAGGAATGTAGACCAGGAGTGGAAGAGACGGAGGGAGAGGGGTGGCCTGCGAGGAGTGAGGCCAGAGAAGGCCGGTGCGGTGGGGGATGTGAGGATGCGGGGGGAGGGGGTTCGCCTTCACTTCGAACAGTGGGAAAATACATTCTTGTTTGGAAGTATATGGAAAAGACCGCTCATATACCAAAGTTTCTAGAAAAGAGGGGGCGACCTTTATAAGAAGAGAGGGAGGGTGCCAGGCTCGTCCGCAGGGCGTTGGGGAGCAGGTCAGTCTCGGCCCACCGTGCACCAGGCAGCTAGTGAGGGGCAGGAGAGACACGTTAAGCAGGGGAGGTTGTTGGGGACCTGTAGCCTCTTCCCCGTGTCCCATGGGGGCTGCAGTGAAGGGCAGGAGAGCAGCACCGGCAAGCACATCCCTCCTTCCCCCTGGCCCACTCTGGGTGCTGGGCGGGCTGGGCTGTGAATCACAGGCCTGTGGAGGGGATGTCAGTGGGGCTGTGAAGGTGGGTGGGGGCCTGCCCTGGCCTGGGGGGGCTCTGGGCCCACCTCCCTAGTGACCTCGGCCTCCAGTCTTGGCTGAGGCCCTGTCCTGTGGCCTCTCCCGTTGTTCCAAGGTTGTAGGGCCAACTTGTGTCTCTGCCCTGCCCTCCTCACCTCTCGGACCCTCTGCACACCTGGCACTGATGTTGAGCACCCATTTATGGACTACAATTCCTGGCAGCTAAGGGGGCGGAATAAAGGGTCATTGGAAGATTTGGGCCTTGCCCTTTCTTAACTCAGCCCTCGGTGCCTGGCGGAGGCTGCTGCTCCTATGGGCACCCCCAGTGCCATCCCAGGCCTCCCCCCACCTGCCCTCTACCTGGCACCGAGATCCTGGAGAGGGCCTCCGGCTGGCTCAGCGTGTCCACCTTGACGTGCCGGAACGCCTTGCACACGGGGCTCTGCAGGTGCCTGTAACCCACAGGGCACTGGTGAGCCCTTGAGGCTGAAGCACCTGATGTGGGCTTAGCCATCATGTGAGGATAAGGTGAGGCCCCAGGAAGGCTGATCTGTGGGGCCCTAGAGAGTGAGGGGCAGGTTTGGGGCAGAAGAGCCTGTTTCTTGCCTCAGTGAGCATCGTTAATGAGATAGCTTTCCTGGGTTTTTATCCCTTGGGGCAGCAGTTTTCAAACAGGAGTGGCCTTGGCCTCAGATCCCAGGGCAGGGACCTGCATTCAGGACCCAGCTGAGTGGGCTGAGGGGGTCACACCCCACACTGAGAAGTGCTGCCTCCCACTGGCTCCAGGGCGCACGAAGCCCATGAGGCCAGCGTTCTGGGTGGTGGGTGCTGCTGGAACTGGGCTCACATTACCCTCCCCTCTGCACTGTCTGGGACAAGGAAAGGGGCTGGGGCTGGCGTTAGTGGACCTGCGTGCTTACCTCTTCCACTCCTCCTCTGTCTCCCAGAACTCATAGACCACAAAGGTGAAGCCGTCCGACAGCCTCCCAGCGGCGATGCTGCAAGGGGAGGGCGAGGTTGGAGGCAGGATTAGCCTGGGCTGCCATCTTCTGGAACTCGGTTCCCTCATCCCTGTCCCCCACCTCTGCCCTCAAACGAGCCTGGACAAGACGCCCCCAGAGCCAGGCTACGGGGTACCCTGAGAGCCTGGCAGAAGCTGGGCACCCAGTCTGTCACCCGCCAAGGCCGTGAGCCATAGTGCTGCTGCCTTTCTGACAGGAACAACCGAGAGCCTGCGGGCCAGCCCGTCCCTCCACCAGGGCAAGGCCTGGCCCCAGACAGTGGCCAATTCATGTTGTTGAATGAATTATAACGAAATATCATTTTAAAGGCTGAATATTCACTTTCTCCTGTCATGCTCTCCTTCATAATCTCCTTTATTTAATCCTTAACCCCGTGAGTTAGAATTGGCCAACTGAGGCTGGGGCAGGGCCCCGCTGGGTCGGAGTCCTGCAGGCCCAGGTCACTCCCGCATTCCCTCTGTGAGGGCAGCAGCCCACTCACCTTGATTTAAATAGGACTGGGGGTGCTTCCCAGAATGTGGCAGAGCTGGGGGCACCGAGGGCTGACCGCCATGATTACATCAGCGCTAGCACCGCCCCTCTGGCCTCCCGCCTGCCCCCAGCTGCTTCTCTTTTCCCACGCTCAGCAGAACAGAAGCCCGCAGCCCAGGAGGAGAGCTGCCATGGTGGCGGCTGCTGTATAATTACAGGCAATCCCAGGTTCGCCACCAGGACAGACGCAGGGAGGGAAACAAGGCTGCTAATAGTATCATTAGTTCATTAGGCTCCAGCTAAAATTACAGGTGCCTGCGGGCTTGTAATTTGATGAGAGCATGGGGGACCGGGGATGCGTGCCGCCCACTGATCAGATGTAGCCATGGCCTTTCGCCAGATCCAGAAAGCGCCGCTTACGGGCCTGCCTTTGCGACAGATGAAGGTCATCGGAGCAGCTTGGTGCGTCTAAGTCTGTAGCTGCAGCAGAATGAGGCACTGATTGGGTTTTGGGGGTGGGGTGGGGTGTCTCTGGATGGGCAGGAAAACACAGCAGGCTGGCATGGGGTACAGGAAGGACAGAGTGTGAAGCCCTACTGCGTGCTGCCTGTGTACAGAGGAGGGGCAGCCAGGCCCCTCTCCGCTCCACCCCACCCAGCCCTGGGCCCTCTGACCCCTGCCGTGAGCACACTGCTACTGTGGCTTTCGGTGCCATCTGCATGCCCACCGCTCCCAGCCCGCCTCTCCCAGGATCTCCACACTCCTATGCGGCATCTCGAATTTAACATGACTCCCCCACACCAGCACGCCTGACCTCCCTGACTCCTCTAGGTCATCACACGACACCAACCTCTATCGGGTTTCTAAAGCCAGACAATCTCAGATTCTACCTTGTCTCCTCTCCACACCCCCCTCGCTGTTCTCCACAACAGCTCCCAGCTCTAACCATGTCGCACCAAGGCCATGCCCCTCCCTGGGTGACCGCAGGGCCTCTCCCTGGCCCCTGGGCACACCAGAGACCAGCCCGTGTCTCACTCCTGCTGGCACATCTCCAATACGGTTCACTGTACTCCAGACGAGCAGCGCGGGAGTGGGTCCTGCCCGCCACCCCCGGGCCTCGCCCTGTCACCTTGTCCAGACAGACCTGCTTGTTCTCAAACACGGCACCCTCGCTGCCTCCCAGGCAGTGGCACCCACTGGTTCCGGCCCACACTGCCCTTCCTCAGACTCTGCTGTCTGAATGCTCCGGACGCAGGCCTCCGTGCACGCGCAGCCTCTCCCCTCCCCAAAGCCCCTTCCTTCTCTCGAGGGACCCAGCTTCCTGGCCTCCACAGCACCCATCACCCTTCAGAACCATCCCTCTTCCTCTGCCCTCTCCCGCCACCTGGACTGCATGTTCAGGAAGAGCAGCGCCTGATTCACGCTGCGCCCCAGCTGCCCCCCAGGGAGAGGGTGAAGGCGCGTGCTCTCAGGGTGCAGAAGGCAAACTGGACAGGGAGGACCGGGGCAGAGAATGGCACAGAGGCCACAGCTACTTCCCAGGCACAGATGGGTGGGCCTGGGACAGGAGAGTGCCCAGCGACTTGTGCCAACAGTCCTCTGGGACCATCCCCAGTGAGGGAGAGGGCTGTCGTCTTTTGTGGCCCAATCTGACATCGCCACGGCCACCTGGTTCAGCTCTGCCAAGAAGCAATGCAGGCCTCGGCAGCAGGGACCAGAGGGTGAGGCCTTGAGGGGCAGCCACATGGTAAGAGTAGCAGCTGACGTTACGCAGCTCCGACTGCTCACCAGGCACTGACCTAAGCCCTTCCCATTCCTCATTCCATTTACACCTCCAACAACCAAGGGAGTGGGTCCAGTCCGTGCTCCCACGCTACAGATGAGGAAGCTGAGGCCCGGGAGATGAAGTCACTCGCCACGTTTGCACAGTGGGGAAGAGCCTCAGCTAGGACTTGACCCGCTCTCCTAACCGCACTGCTGGGCCTTCCCGGGGGTATGGGTTGTCCTCGGAGGTCCTGCCCTGTCCTCCACCCCGCTCTCAGCTTACTCACTGGAAGCAGCTCCTGGCCCCAGCGGTGCCCCGCAGGTACTGTCGCAGCGAGTCCAGGAACTCGCTGAGCTGCTCAGGACACACGGCCATCTCCTGCCGGACCAGCTGCAGATGCTGTGGGGTGCAGGGTGCAGGGTGAGTGAGCTTCCTCGGGCTCCCAGACTGGCCTCTCCCCGTAGGACCCCAGCCTCCCACACCTCCCTCCTGAGGACAGGACAACTGGGTCAAAATAAAACAAAACCCCATGCACACACGCCTTCCATTCTTACACACGAACACTGGCTGAAACAGAACAAGAATAATAAAGAGCCAAATGCAGGTAGCAGTCCCACAAATGCTGAAAAACAGACAGGGTGTGAAGAGGCTCTACGGGGGGGCAGGGCTGCCAGCAAGGCTTCCAGGGCTGAGACACAACAAATCAGTGACCAGCAACATTCATTTCCAATCACGTCAGTGTTTTGGTGTCACTGTCCTGTTGATCACTTGGTTCCAGGCCAATCTTTTTTACCAAAGCCCTGGTATCTCCAAGAACACCCGTGGAAGGGGAGGGTGACCAAGTGCTGGGGCCACATCTCCCCACATGTGCTCCCTGGGGATCGGGTGGCAGGGCCATTGAGCCACCTGTATCCTGAGTCCTGGGTTCAGGCAGGGATGGGGCCACAGGAGGAGGAGGGAGGCCTCAGGGGAGGGGGCCCTCACCATGTTAGTGCCGTCTTCATCTGAGAGGCGCTGCTGCAGGTCAAACCAGAGGGTCTGAAACAACAAAGCATAGAGTGATGCTGGAGACAAAGGCCACCTCCATCAGGGAGGCCTCCAGGACCTCCACAGTCATACCAGAGTACCCAGGGACAAACAGAGCTCCAGCCCCTCCACACCAAGGTCCCAGGGGCTCGAGTCCCCAGGCTAGTGGGAGCTCCCAGGGGCCAGGCCTCACCAGACAGGGCTCACTCCAACCTCCATGCACAGTGCTGGCTCAGAGGGGACCCAGAAAGCCAGGCTGGGAGGCCAACCACAGGAAGTGGTGGAGATCCCTTCTGGCCCTGGCATCTGGGGGCACTGGGAGCCATGGAGACCAAGCAGATCTACTGCAGAAGCCAAGGAGACTCCATTTTTCAGGGGGGGGGGAAGTTGGGGGGGTCTTGGGGAGAGAGCAATTGGGATTCAAGATTCCCAAATCCAAGATGCTGGAATTTTGCCGTAATTGCTGGCAACAGCTCTGAGATTCCTCATCAACTTACAAATCGCCCCAATCTCAACCCAATGCCCCGTGAATCGAATGGTCTAAATGGGGTGTCTGTTTTCACTGGCCTCCCGCAGGCCCTGGGCTAAATGCTTTACAAACACACCTTATTTAACCTCCCAGACCCCCTGCCCCACTGTAAGCTCCAGGAGAGCAGGAACCGTGCGTGCTGTTTATGGCCACAAGCTAGCGCCCCGAGCAGGGCCAGGACGCTCAGTGTCACTACTAAGCAGACAGGCCTGGGCTCCAGAGGCCACACAAGCTGGGTAGGTGCTGAGCCCGGATTTGAATTTGGGGCCTCTCTCCTCCTGACACGGAATCCGATTCTTCTCCCTTTAACATGGACACCCCAATAAACGCCACCTCTGTGCCTATCCCTAGCCACCTTCCCAGAGGACGGCCTGTGTCTCTGGTGCGACCATACGCCAGGTCTTTCCTCTCTCAGAGCACGCGTGCGCCCCTCACTGGTTTTTAAGGGAACAGACTGGCAGCTGTGTTGTTCTGTGACCTGTGCGGGTCCCACCTTGCAAATCCTTCATAATTGAACAAGGGGCCCGCATGCTCATTTTGCACGAGACCGTGCACATCACACCACTGGTCCCGGAGCGGGTGCTGACTCCCCAGGACCCGCGGGGTAACCCTGCTCAGTGGGCAGCCAAGGTGTGTCCGCCGGGGTCTCATCTGCTTCCATGGCTTTACAGCCTGTAAGTGGGCTCCTAGAGGGCAGGGGTTGTGGCTTTTCCCGGCTGGCAGGGCCACAGGAGGAGGGGAGGGGAGGGGAGGGGGTTCAGTGGCGCCCACGGCTGCCCCACCCTCTCCCAGACTGTGCGCCCCGCTCCACCCTCCAAGCCCAGGCAGAACCGGGGTGGCTCAGTTGGTCCATAGAGGGCGGGGCCTGGAGGCGGCGCTGGATTGGCCCCTACTCGGGGCCTGGGCCAATCAGAGGCCGGCGAGCAGGGCCCCGCCCCGTCTCCAGGACGCCCAGGTGCTCAGCGGTTACCAGCCTGCCCCTGCCTGTTGTTAAGGCGACCAGGGCGCTAAAAATAAACTTCAAAGAGCCTCCCTCTCGGGCGCCTGAGGGGTTGTTATGACAACCGGGCCACCGGGTCCACCGAACCGCTGGCTCCCACCCAGCAGCCCCACTGGCTCCCACCCAGCACCCCGCTCTAAGGGCGGGGGGGAACCCCACCTAGGCCTCAGCCCTGCAGGCGCGGTTGCTGCCACCTCCCTCCAACTCCTCGCCTCCCACCTAGGCCTCCCTCTGCCCCCACGGATACTTCAGAACCAACCCCCAAACCCATCAAAGTACTTTTTTTTTGCCCTTTTGCAAAAGATGTAAGAAATTCAGAAAAGTCAGAGAAATGTAAGATTGCTGCAACCCAGGGCTCTGGGGTAATTGGTTTAGTAGAGATGGGTGTGGTGTGTACATCTCTATAGTATAGTTTTTAGCACCGGGACGACTAATCATAATTGCTAGCATCGCTAATGTTAAGTGACAGCTTCACCGCAGGCTCTGTGCCAAGTCATTAAAGACATCATTATCTTTACTCCCCAGGACAACCCTGTGAGGGGTGCTATTCTCATGTCCTTCTCTATTGTTAGAGGAGAAATCTGAGTCTCAGAGAGGGTAGGTCACTGGCCCCAGGTCGCACGGCTGGTAAGTGGTGTGGCCAGGCTTCACACAGGGCAGTCTGACATCTGAGTCCGCAGGTAAACCTGAAGGCAACCTGTTTTCCTTCTTCCAAGAAACGGTCCGTGTTACGGGCTGGACTGCGCCCTCCCCAAATCGAAGGACCGATCCCCAGCACCTCAGAATGTGACTACATGTGGAGGCAGGGTCACCACAGAGGTCTTTAAGTAAAAATGGGGTCACAGGGGTGGACCCTAACCCAGGATGACTGGCGTCCTTATGAGAAGAGGAGACTAGGACATCAAGGAACACAGAGGGGACACCATGTGTCTTCTGAGGAGAAGACAGCTGTCTGCACGCCAAGGAGAGAGGCCTCAGCAGAAAGCAGCCCTGCCCCCCCCCCCCGACCCCCGATCTCAGACTTCGAGCCTCGAGCTGTGGGAATTAATGTTAAGCACAGCCTGTGTACGGTGCGTGATGGTGGCAGCCCCGGGAAATAGGTGCAGCGCGTTGTGAGCACCTACTGAGTCATGAACTGGTCTCTGGACACACGGTTCTGTAAGGCCGAGTCACTTCCTATTATCTGTGGACGTGCCATATCGTCTTGGAAAGCTCGCACGCTGCTGGCCAGACGTTCATCTCTCCTGGGCCGTCACCATCCCGCAGGCCCTTACAGCTCCTCGAAGCTCTGTCCCCTCCACCCACGGTGCTGCTGACTACTGTCTGCTCCCTGCGATGCCCCTCCTGTGCCCGCCCACCCTCACAGCTTCTCCTCCCTCCAGGCCCCTCTCCCTGAGCCTGCGCACTGGGCACAGCTCTGGGGTCTGTCCATATCTCAGTCTTCATCTCCACGCTCCACTGGTGATGCCTTTCCAAGGCTCCCTGACTTCTGTCGGCCTAACCCAGCCCTTCCTGGGGTCTGGGGAATGGAGGGACGGAGGTGGGGGCCAGCGACCTTACCTTGCTCTCCAGCCGTCCTATCAGCTCTGCCAAACGGCTGATCTGGGCTTCCAGGCCCTCCTCCTTGGGGTCCGAGGTGACTGGGAAAGAGGAAGAGACACCAATGTTGGGCAGGGGCAGGGGGCTCCCAGGACCCCACCCAATGCCCCGGCCGGGCCACCGCCTGCTCTCACCAGAAGGCACGCTCCTCTCTCGTTCTGTGGGCATGAGCTTGTGGCCGGTGCCGCAGGGGGCACTGGGGCTTCCATACCAGGTCTGCACCACGCCAGGGCCGGGCTTGCCGTGGTTCTGGCTGCAGTGCGAGTGGGAGAAACATACACGGTGAGGGAGGCCGAAGGGCCCTGACAAACATAAGCACCCACTGTGGGCTGAAACGTGCAGCTCGCTCCATGGAGCTGTCCCCATGAAGTGGGCCTCGTGCCTTTGTTGTAGAAGGAAACGAGTTGGCCAGGACCACGCAGCCCAAGGGACTGAGTCGAGATAGGAACTCAGCCCCATTCTAGGCCTCAGCCCAGGCCCTGTTCCCAGGAGGTTCAGTTCCAGGCCCCTGCCCCCACCCAATGGCTCACAGCTCCCACCCCCTGCCTGCTTCACTAGGAGCCAATGTGGTGCCGTGTGTGTGTGTGTGTGTGTGTGTGTGTGTGTGTGTGTGTGTATGTGTGTGTTGGGGGGGGGGGG